GCTGTTTTTGACTTACTAAGACATTTAATTTACATCCTTCTAAATGACAATGGCGTCCCTAATTGGTAAAAACATGTTTACTGTACCACGGGTCGTTTGTCTTATTTTGAAAAGATGTTGATATAAATAAGACAATTGTTTATGTCGCCTTAAAAAAGTTTACAATTGAATTAATTCTAGCTCCCTGTATAAACATGTGGTTGCTAAGTGAACCATGGTTTATCATCTTTCAGCTATTTCATATAAAGAAAAAAACTTATTTTACGGTCAAGTCTGTATTCATGTTAATACCCAATCCATATTCTATTTACAATTATTTTAGTTTTATGAACAAAAGAGTCGAAAGATACCAAAGGGACAATCAATGTTGAGAAGGGCTTGCAAAAAAAGCTTATGTATCATTTTGACAAAGCTGTACTTATGTTTTAATTTGACATTTTAATTTCAATTTTCAGGAAAGAATACGAATGTACCTAGCTACATTAAGAAATCTGATGATTCTACAATATCTCCAGCTTCAGAAAGCTTGAAGCCTAGTACAGTGTCCCTTTCAATGCCTGCGAAGTCTTCTGTGGTACCACAGTTGCAAACATTCATAAAAGAAAGCAAGACAAAAGAAAAAGAAGAGTGTACAAGTTATGTAAGGCTTAGTTTTTAATTTATGAAACATTTAAAGTTCAATTTAAAATCGTATCAAAATATAAACGGATTATTTATTGCCGAGGCAAATGCTTATCGGCAATACAGGCATTTTTTTTTTCTTTTGTTTGTTTTCAGGAGTCAGGATTCTACAGTACCCTGACACTCACCACCTAACTATGGTGTTTGGTTAAACATTGAATAATATGTACAAGGCTGTCCATTTTGTTTTTGATTGATATATATTATATAAGAATATAGTTACTAAAAAAACCTCATAACGCTCACACTTGCACTTACTTCTAACACACAGTCACTGCAAACTTACCATTAGTATGCATGCATATCTCTGGATGAGGTAAAATACAAATATCAACTGCTTGCTACAGTATTATTCAAAATATGAATGATAACAAATCACGAAAACATTTTATGTAGTGAGGTTCAAAATCGTCCCTAAGCATTTATATATTTTGGAATGTTAGATGAAAAACTGTAGTATATCAAAATTTTTCAATATTACGTTTTTGTTCTGATTGTTAAAATGTTAACATTGATTTGGTTTGACTATCTACAATCTCATTAATAAATTGTATACCATATAACTTCCATTTCATATAAACAGGTTATTCAAACACTGCTGTACAGTTTAACATTTCCTGAACACATAACTTTGTATTCGGCTTTGACATGTGTAAACACTATCACCACCGAACTATTTTAGTTCTGCGAGTAATAAATACTGTCAAGAACCATCTGAGTTTGATCAAAAATCTCTTTACCAAAGATAATTTAAGATATGTATAGAAAGACTGCAAATTCCCCATACTTAATCATCCCTGTGAAAAATCTGCAATCAGAGTACTACGATTGACTCTATCAGTATTTCTATTCCATACAAAACTATTTCAACAAAGTATTTAATTTATTTTATTGTGACGGAGAACTGGCAATGCCAGAGCTTTAACTACAGTGATTTTGCATAGTAATGTCAATTTTCTATGTTGCAAGATTTTTACTATAGCTGAAACCTCTTTGATCTGTTTTCTTAAATCAATATCAAGAATACAATTCGAATCAAAAGATAAATGTATTCATAAATGTCGTAAGTTTGTATGGGACCACTTAAGATTGAAATTTGGACATAATAAGTTATCAGAATATTTTGTGTTACCAATCCAGACAGCTGTTATCTTTGATTTGTTCATTTTTAATTAAAATAACATGCAAAAAGAAGCAAAATAAATAATGATTTCTTGTAATGATGTCCCACTACCATTTAAAGTAAGTATCATCTACATATTGACTTAAAAGTGTTTGTTTTTCCTTGATGAGGATACCGTGAATATTGGGGTTGGGCTAAGAAAATAACTCTACGTCAATTACAAACAAATACAGAGAGAGCGTTTCTCCTTATCGGCAATCTCTCTCAAGATTAAAAAAAAAAGATAAATTGCAATTGTTGATTACACAATTGCTAGCACTTTTGTAGAGAGTCTTGAATCATCTGCTCATCGAAGGACCAATATTAAGATTTTTCAATGCTTTTTTGTAAAAAGAAGAGTCAAATGTTTTTCAAAAATAACCAATAAAAGTATAGCTCTCGTGTTGTGGTATTCAAGATAATGTATCAAATAGTACAATAATCTAGTATTCTCCACCGTAAGCCTCACGTTTATAAATCTCTTTTGATAATCATTAATAACATGTGGTAATACAGATAGTACAATAATCTAGTATTCTCCATCGTGAGCCTCACGTTTATAAATCTCCTTTGAAAATCATTAATAACATGTGGTAATACAGACTTGACTCTGTTTGCTATTGTTGCAGAAGCTATTTTAATGTCTGTATTTAACAGGCTGATAGGTGGCCAGTAACTAATATAGCTCCTTTCTAGTTATGACACTCTGATACCGAAAATAAGAGAAAAGACCAGACTCATATCCATAGAAAAATGATCTAAGATATCTCCAAAAGAATTTGAAAAAATCGACGGCAAATCCATCGTTTCCTGGGGATTTTACATTTCTCATATAAAAATTATGTTGTTCCGAGAGAATTTTTGATTGGTCTGATATGTCATTACCCTGGTCATCAATCATTTTAACCATTGCCTTCTTTGTATAATTTCTCTTCTCTTATTTGCAAAAATATTAGAAACATTTTCACCATTTTCATGCCAGCTTGCCAGAGACCTTAAAAGTGAACCTTCTATCGTCTGCTCTCTCATGAATTTAACTCCATTTTTTGGTGTTATTCAAAGTAGTATGTACAGCTTCAGTAGGGGGTGTATTCGTAATAATATTTAAGTTTTTTTATATCCTCTGCAAGTTTCAGAGTACTATTTTCTCCTCTTTTGATGAAGATATACTTTGTGTAATGGACAATACACACATAGTAGATTTACTGTTTAGCAGTTATTCTCTCTGTAAATGTGTAAATTAGCAAAGACAATTGTGTTCAAGTGATAGAGTTTGATTACTTAAAATAATTGTGAAGTTTGAATTACCTTCAATCAAAACATTTTACGTTATATGAATGACCCCTTAAGCATGGTTATTCTGAACAGATCATGCTGACATGAACCACTGACCAAGCAGGCCAAGCTTTTGATAGATTTGTATCTCAAATTACAATTTATTGCGTGTTTGCCTTATATCTAAAAAAAATATAATAGATAGATAGAAACTTAAATAAGCAAAAATTATCAGCAAGTCAAGAACTACAATTAAGACGATTTAGAGGAAATCGTCCAACGACAGTTTATTGGAGTTATTGCCCATTAATAACGATTTTTTTTTTTTTGCATTTTGCATTTTTCCTTAAATGATAAAATTTAAAATAGATAGATAGACACTTTAATCACAAAAATAATCAGCAAGACAGATTTACCTACAAGTCAAATTTTGCTGATATATTTAGTAGACTGTCACCTTTTATAGGAGTGATTACCCTTAAATTTGGATATTTTTTAGTAAAAACTAAAGAAGATAGGGCGAAACTACACAGACTAAATGATCATCAATACAAAATCAGCAAAACAAAGATTTTTGTCATGAATTCTATTCTCGTCTATAATGTTGGAGAATGTCCTTTGTTGAATATGCTCATAGACCAAGGTTAGCGACACAGGCTCTTTAGAGCCTCTAGTTTTATATGGTGTCCAATGGACGCATATTCTTGTTTATTTACATAAGGACAGTTCCTTTGATTACCAATGTATATGAATATATCATGTATATATATCTAAGTATACTTATTCTACGGTGCAAATGAAAATAACAATAATAAATGAAGTGTTAGTTATTGAGGCAATTTTTTTTTTTAGAAATCAGAGAAGAAAATAGACCATCCACAACAAGACACAATACAAAAACACAGACAAAGTGTAGTCAAAGGTAAAATCTATTTAATTTTTGTTTACAATATGTAGCTAATATAGGAATTAACTGGCAATTTTTATACCATGCATAGTGGTTCAATATAACGGCTATTTTTTAAAAACGACTTTCGTTCACTGTTCTCTAAATAAATAATGCTGTTAGTTTTTAAAGCTTTTTTATAGCTGACAATGCAGTCGAAGGCCTTACGATGACATATAGTTGTTAACCTCTATGTTATTTGATCTCTGGGGGAGAGTTGTCTCATTGGCAACCATACCACATTTTTTTCGACTTTATATTGACTCCAATAATTGACTTTTGTATAGATATGCGTCTTCTTTCCTGCGGTAAAATCTTTGCTAAAGTTAGGCAACACCATATACATGTATATATAAAACGTGATCTGAGCGGTTAAATAGGAAAATTATGCTTACTTTCAGACTAGTTTTATAATATTAACCTCCTTTGAATGGTATACAGATGGGATGTAACATTCTTTTGTTATGCAATTATAGATATTGTAGGATTCATACTGTTTAATCATGTATTTTTTTCTTTTATAAATGTATCATAGATATCAATATAGATTGAAAAATAAATAACAATATTTTGAACCAAAATGCACCAAAACATAAATAAAATCAAATCTGAATAAATTGACACAACAAATCATAGCAATGTACATAATACGTAACGGGCAACCGTGTATGTAGAAAACTTCTTAATGAACAATTTCGAATGAACAACCCTTTAATCTTTCACCCTAATGTAGTATAAGGTCAGATAGGAAATTAGATAAATAGCACAAAACGCAATAGCTCTTTATGAAAACTGCACATTAAATACCCTTAAATTTTGTAATTACTTACTTTCTCAGTTGCAAAATGGAATATCAAAGATAAAATCTAATTAACATGCAGAAGATATTGTAGGGTGTTTTTCTGTATAATTGGACATTAGATTAACTTATTTCAGATCACAAATTTCATGGACTTTTTCGTTACTATGACGATTTATTAGATAACACAGTACTTGACAAGAAGGTTCTAGATAACCTGATTTCCAGATGTATTTTGATGATAGAGGACAGAGAAGAAATTATAAAACCAACCACACAGCGTGAACGTAACAAGATTTTACTTGATATTTTGACTGAACGACCATATGATACCTTCTATTTGTTCAAGGATGTGTTAAAGGAATCTGAACCAAACAATAGATATGTTCAAAAGCTTGTCAGTAGAATGCAGACTACTGAAAGCAGAGAAGAAGATACCTGTTGTCATTACGGGCATGAGATTTGTAAGTTGTTTCAACTAACATGTAGTTAAGAAAGATGTCTAATGAGCCATCAACACTAACTTTTGATTTGTGTATACACACTCACACACATATTTACACACAAAAAATGCCTTAGTTAAATGTAAACATTTCCTTAATATCTAATTTGATTTCAAGGAAGCAAACTAACTTGACAGGGATCAAGTGATGGAGAGTAATACGCCTTGCTTACTTTCAATTTCAAATGACTGTCAGCATAGGATATTACAAATTAATTATTTGAAAAAATTAATAAACGATAAAATTATTTTACTGTTACCTTCATTAACACCGGTACCAATGCAAATTTGAATTAACTGAAAGTGACAAACTGTCAACAGTAAAAGATAAATGTTAGCATGTTATTCAAAAGCGATCAACCTACTCGCGATATTCCTTCCATGACGGACCTGGAAGTAGTGTCAAGCTATCCAGCAATTATCTTTAAAAAAAAAGCTATCCTGCAATTCGTCATCCTGCAAATGCGTTTGGAAAACTACTTCAGCGACAATTTTATTTTTTTCAAAATCATGGTTTTTGACTTTTTTTGTTGAAAGAAAGACTTATATAGAAAATCGAAGACTTGTATATCCAATTACCAAATTTCTAATTTAGTTTACATATTTCTATCTCATGTTTTCGGTTTTGAAACTAGCATTTACAAAAACAAATCCTGTTCACGATTCAAACATATATAGTATTATCTGTTAAATCCATTATTTGATTCGTATTTACGCCTATTTTACCTACATTTGCGATTTTTCAACTCACAATAACGACTAAAACATGTAGAATTTTGATGTAAAATTAATTTTCTCATGAAATACCGACATTACAACTTCTAATAAAAACTTCATCACTCGCATTGGCGATTTTGTAACTCACATTTACAGTTTTTTAACCAGCAAATTTAAAAGAAAAATGGTGTTGACGATTTCAATAAATTGCGATACATTTAATCCAAGATATTATTCGTATTTACGCCTAATTATCCCATATTTGCGATTTTTCTACTCATATCAAGGAATTCTATATTTAAATATACAATTCCTTGCTCATATTAACAGCTGAAAAATGTACAATTTCGGTTTAAATTCATTTTCACATGCAGTACCGACTATTTAACTTCTCTATACAACTTCAGAACACATTTTTGCGATATTTTACTCATATTTTCGACTGAAAAATTTAAAATTCAATATTTGAATTCATCGCAACATTAAGATAACGAAAATACATTTTGTTTTCTTTCAAATTCTTAGTTCACATTCGTGATTTAATCCATATTTAAGACTTAAAGGTATAAAACAGATGTTGAACACATCTTTACATCTATTGCCGGCAGTGAAATTTCTGCTTACTTCAAAACTCGTATTTGTGACCTTTTCAAAATTTGTTACAACATAACAACTCACAATACTGAGTCAAAAACTTGCAACTATGAAATTCATACTTCACCAGTAATTCTCATTTAAGGTGTCTTGAAAGCCATTTATCTATAATCAAGTATGACAGTATCTGTATTCTGGCACACAACAATTCTTATCAACCGAAAAAAATAATCGAAACTTTCCAACCCATTGTCTCGGCATTTCTTTATGGCTATGGGTTATAGACTCTGCTTTAATAAATCACTATTAGATAGTTCTACAACGGGATAGCAAAGAATTTCTGGGGTAAGTATTCTAAAAGGCCGAAAAATTCGGTCCGATACTTGGAAAAATGTCACATTCTAAAAAATACGCATTAGGGTTACCAAATTTCCAACCCATTGTCTTGGCAGTTCTTTATGGCTAGTGGGTTATAAACTCTACTTTTATTAATAGCTATTTGATAGTACAACAACGGAATAGAAAAGAATTTCTGGGGTAAGCATTCTTAAAGGCCGAAAAATTCAGTCCGAAACTTGGAAAAATGTCAAATTCTGAAAAATACGCTTTGGGGTCACCCACTTTCCAACCAATTATCGCGGTAGTTCTTAATGACTAGGGATTAGAGACTCTGCTTCAATGAATAGCTTTTAGATAATACTACCACGGGATATTAAAGAAATTGTGGGGTAAGCATTCTAAAAGGATGAAAATTTAGTCCAAAACATGAAAAGAAGCCACATTCCATAAAATACGCATTTGGGTCCCCCAATGTCTAACCAATTGTCTTGTCAGTTCTTTATGGCTAGGGATTAGTGACTGCTTTAATTATAAGCTATTATATAATACTACATTGGGATGGTAAAGAATTTTTGGGGTAAGCATTCTTAAAGGCCGAAAATTTAGTCCGAAACATGAAAAGAAGCCAAATTCTATTAAATACGCATTTGGGTCACCCACTGTCTAACCAATAGTCTTGCCAGTTCTTTATTGCTAGGGATTAGTGACTCTGCTTCAAATAATAGCTATTAGATAGTACAACATCGGGATAGTAAAGAATTTTCGGGGTAAGCATTCTTAAAGGCCGAAAATTGCGTCCGAAACATGGAAAAAAAGCAAAATTCTACAAGATACGCATTTGGGTCACCCACTGTCTTACCAATTGTCTTGTCATTACTTTATGACTAGGGATTAGTGACTCTGCTTTAATTAATAGCTACTAGACACAACATAGAAAACTAAAGACTATAAGCAACACAATACCCACCAAAAACTGTTGGATAGTCTCAGGTGCTCCGGAAGGGTAAGCAAATCCTGCTCCACATGTGGCACCCGTCGAGTGCTTATGTTATTACAAATCCGGTAAAAAGTCTAATTCGGTAGGTCACATTCGTGAAAAGGGAATGGTATTGTAGTTACGACATAAGGAACATATCCGATATCATCTGTGAAACGGTTATTCCATAAAGGTCAACCAACTCGTGATGGCGTCCGTAAAATTTACGAAGGGATGGTTTCACTTTTTGGAACTCTTGGTTTAATAGCTTCTTTGTGAGCAGCAATCCTCTATCAAGGAAATCATGATAGGAAATGCAAGCCCGGGAATATCGTATCAATTGGGAGATATATACTCCGTATGCAGGCGCTGCTGGAATGTTGCTACATAGAAATGGAAAGTTCACAATTGGGAAGCTGAAACCATCTCTTTTGTCGTAAAGTTTTGTTTTCAACCGACCCTCATTGTCAATTTCTAGATGTAAGTCAAGATATGAGGCAGACTGTATCTGTAGTATCCTTTATCTCTAGTTCGATGGGATAGATTCTACATCGGGATAGTAAAGATATAAAATACGCATTGGGGTCACCCACATTCCAATCAATTGTCGCTGTAGCTCTTTATGGCTAGGGATAAAGGAATCTCCTTCAATGAATATCTATTAATGATAGTACTACAACGGGGTAGAATTTAGCTTTTTACCATGTTTCGGATGTTTTGGCCTTTAAGAAGCCTTACAACAGAAATTCTTTACTATCCCGATGTAGTACTATCTAATAGCTATTCATTGAAGCAGAGTCTCTAATCCCTAGCTATGAATAACTACCGAGACAATTGTTTGAAAGTATGTGACCCCAGTACGTATCTTATATAATTTGGCTTTTTTTTCCATGTTTCAGACGAAATTTTGGCCTTTAGAAGGCTAATCTAGACATCCTTTACCATCCCGTTGTAGTACTAACTTATACATGTAGTTCATCATTAAAGCAGAGTCTTTAATCCCTAGCCATAAAGAACTACCGAGACAATTGTTTGGAAAGTATGTGGCCCCAGTGCCTATCTTATAGAATTTGGCTTTTTGACAATGTTTCGGACAAAATGTTCGGCCTTTAAGAAGGCTTACCCCAGAAATTCTTTACTATCCCGATGTAGTTCTATCTAATAGCTACATGTATTCATTGAAGGAGAGTCTCTAATTCCTAGCCATAAAGAACTCCCGAGACAATTGGTTGGAAACTGGGTGACCCCAGTACGTATTTTATAGAATTTGGCTTTTTTCCATGTTTCGGACGAAATTTTCGGCCTTTAGGAAGGCTTATCCCAGAAATTCTTTACTATCCCGATGTAGTACTAACTTATAGCTATTCATTGAAGCAGAGTCCCTAATCCTTAGCCATAAAGAACTACCGAGACAATTGTTTGGATACTGGGTGACCCTATTTCGTATTTTATAGAATTTGGCTTTTTGCCGTGTTTCGGACGAAATTTTTGGCCTTTAAGAAGGCTTCCCCCAGAAATTCTTTACTATCCCGATAAAGTATTTTCTAATAGCTATTTATTGAAGCAGAGTCTTTAATCCTTAGCCATAAAGAACTATCGAGACAATTGTTTGGAAAGTACGTGACCCAAGTGCGTATTTTATAGAATTTGGCTTTTTTTCCATGTTTCGGACGAAATTTTCGGCCTTTAAAAAGGCTTACCCTAGAAATTCTTTACTATCCTGATGTAGTGCTATCTGTTAGCTATTCATTAAAGCAGAGTCTTTAATCTGTAGCCATAAATAACTACCGAGAAAATTGGTTGGAATATGGGTGACTCTGTTGCGTATTTTATAGAATTTGGCTTTTTGTCATGTTTCGGACGAAATTTTCGACCTTTAAAAAGGCTTACCCCAGAAATTCTTTAATATCCGATAAAGTACTATCTGATAGCTATTCATTGAAGCAGAGTCTTTAATTCCTAGCCATAAAGAACTACCGAGACAATTAGTTGGAAAGTGGGTGACCCCAGTGCGTATTTTATAGAATTTGACTTTTTGCCATGTTTCGGACGAAATTTTCAGCCTTTAATAAGGCTTATCCCAGACATTCTAAACCATCCCGATGTAGTACTATCTTATAGCTATTCATTGAAGCAGAGTATCTTCTCTAATCCCTATCCAGAAAGAACTACCGAGACAATTGTTTTGAAAGTGGGTGACCCCAGTGCGTAATTTATAGAATTTGGCTTTTTTCCATGTTTCGGACGAAATTTTCGGCCTTTAAGAAGGCTTACCCCAGAAATTCTTTATCCTGATATCTGTGAAGAGTTTATTTACAATCCCGATGTAGTACTGT